TCCTGGCAATTTGCAGCATGCTGAGGCTGCAATTTGTGGGCTGGATCTCTGCGTATTCCTTTTCTTAGCCTGTTCTTTTAATATCGTTTCTTTTTTCACTTCCTGGATTTGGAGAGTAATCCCCCAGGGGAAAGAACAAATTGTAATAACTATCAGGAAACATGCTAAGGTGAAGAGAACTGAGCAGTTTGCAAGAAACAAAGATGAATGCATGCAAATGAGTCTCCAGTGTGCAGCTCAGAACAAAATATCCAGGGAGATGTCCCTCATCCCCACTCTTACACCCCTACTTTCTATAGCTTTTTTTCATGAGGGCATAGACCTCCAAGTGTATATGAGCAACTTAATTTACTGCAAAGCTGGCTATGTATGGAGACACTAATGTAGAGAAATGCACTTCTTCAGACAGCCATCTCTTAAATAATACAAGCTGACAACCAGTTGAATAGAACGAGTGATTATGTCTGCAGCCATCAGAGCGAGGAATCTTATTACAAGGATGTGCTGATACAGCCCCCATTCATACATCCAGGGCCCATCACAAGTCTATTAAGGGAGCATCTATCACAAAAGCATTATGTTTTTTAAATGCTTGACAAAGGGCACAGTAGAAATAATTCTACTTAGACCTTGCAATTTCCTTGGGTGACGTAATTCTTGTGATTCTTCACTGAAAATGAAGAATGAAAACATTCAGTGGCAAACATATAAGATGACAAGAGCAGGCTTAGCAACGGGTTTGTTTTTCAGTTTGGAGGATGGTTTTTTTTCCCCAGTGTAGTGGAATCTACCGTAAGAGTAGGGAACTGAATGGAGCCCAAGGTCTTTCCGCTCAAGAGCCCTCTGGTCAAAAAGAAACTCAGGTCACAAATAAAAATTAGTTGGTAGGTTTTATCCTGTTCTCCTATCTGTTGCACATCACAAAACCACCACACAATCAGACACCACTTCAGCATGATTTACACGCACCCACGAATTCATCTTGGCTCAAATTTTCAAAGATGCAGAAGGGAGTGACATGGCCAAATCCCATCAAATTTCAATGGGCATTGGGTGCCTAATTCCCTTAGGCTCTTTGAAAATCCCAGCCCTTATCTATTTATCTAGGTACTTATATGGCCACCATCACCAGAGTCTGAACACCTTCCAGTTATTTAGAAACTGACAAAGTAAAATGCTGTCCCAACTGAAGTCAGTGGGGATTTCAGTGGGGCCAGGCTTTCAGCCCTAATCTCTTTTTCCCTTCCCTGTAGAAGAAATAGCTGGCTCTGCAGTTTTCTTTGTTTATTGGTGTGAAGAGAGGCCCACGGCTGGAAGAGAGGTGTTTCAGGTCCAGTTACGAGTGCATGAGTAGAGTTGCGTGGTAGCTCAGTATTGCAATACCAGGGAGTGTTGCAAATATGGCTTCAGGTACTTTTGCACAGCCTTATGAGGTGCCTACAGTAGGATGTGCTGCAGGTCAGGGTTGAAGTGTATTAGGTTATATGAGAACCCAGAATTAACCAGCCAAAGATGTTACAGGTCAGACTTGAGGTGCGGCAGCATTGCTGCGTGGGGAAGCTCACGTACTATCACATCCATGCTATGAGTCCTCCTCTTCCATGAGCGCCAAACCCACTCACAAAATGTTCAACGTACAGCAAGGTACATTTAGCACAAATTGAGGGAGACACTCAAACCAGACTCTGTGTGCATCCAAATGTGGAGGGCTCAAACTTGAACTTTCTTCCACCCAGCAGTAAATTCATATTCATTCTGGGTGACATGATCCTTTCCTTACACAATCTTGCACCATTTCTCTTCCCATCTTGGGCATTTTCTGCTCATTCCACTGGGGCCCTTTCTTCATGCATACATGTAACCCACATTAACTTCAATAGGAGTTACGGTGTGTGCAAGCTGACAATGGAAAAGATCTCACCGCGTGGTACAGCTGAGTGCTGAAAACACTTATTACATTTTCATCTAAACTAAATTCACCTTATTTCTATGTGCTACATTTGATCAGGCTGAATTATTTTAAACCTTACAACCTGCGTTTGGGTGAGTAAATGGATCGTGGGTATATGCAGCTCAGGAAACCAATGATCGATGGATATTTTCACCTGAATGAAAGGGATGTTGATTTAATACAAAAAAATTGAACCTGTATGCCTCAGGTTTGAGTGTTAGGCCAGGCTATACGATGAAGGCTTGTAATGCCCGGGAATCAGGAGGGTCAAAGGGAAGTCCCGATCAGTGGTCAGAGTTCACGCAAGGGGTCCAATCCCCAGGAGATCCAATCCAAGGGGAAGGTACAGCAAGGCGGGGTCAGGGAGGGTGGCGGGCCCAGGTCAAACGAGGTGACAAGCCAGTAAGGCAGGGTCAGGTGGGTCTGAGTAGCAACGAGCAGGCAATGACTCATTGCTCAGACAAAGCCAGAAGGGAAGCAGGACGTGCATCTATAGTCACCAGCCAATCAGGGTCAAGACCATGTGGCCAGCCAGGAAGCAGGTTGTGGAGTCCTGGAAGATGGCCCACTCAAATCTGAATTCCCAGGGACTCTCGTGTGTTGGTGTGGCACGATGGCCAAGGCTACTTCCCAAACACCCAGTGGGCCTGGGTTCGAGACAAGGGCGACAAACATTCCTAGATTTTAAGCCCAGAATTGGGTACAATTTTCTAAAGCACTGTGATGGGGTGGACTAGGCCCAAAGACCTGGAGGCCTCAGGGTTCTGCCACAGCCATCCCAGGGAAGGAGCAGTGGAGAGGTCCTCCAAGCAGGCTAGAGTGGCTGCAGGGGAAGCAGCCAATCAGGGCCTGGGAGGGCCATATAAAAGGAGTTGCAGAGCAGTGCAGTAGTTAGTTGCTGCTTGGAGCAGGAGGAGAAAGGACTGTAGGCCTGGCTGCCTGGAAGAGCAGCAGGGCCACAGAGTTTGCTAGCAGGAACCGGGGGAGTATTGAGGGAGCACCTGGCTGGTTGCTCGGACTGAGCCTGGGGAGGGCTGCAGGAAGATAGTGTCTCCAGGGAGGAAGCCCTGGGGATACAGCCCCATACCAGTGCTGGACTACTTAAAGACCAAAGCCCATGGAGGGCTAGAGAGAGACACTAACAGAGGGGTACTGAGATAGGCCCTGGTGGACCATATATCCCAGAAGGGGGTTGTGCTGATTAACATGCAGACAGTGGGACTCGGCCAGAGCACTGTGTGTCTGACAAATTCGCCTGACAGCCATCGAAAGGGGTCGCCAGAACTAAAGAATGCAGACACATCCAACCAGAAGGGGGCACTTGAGAGGTGGGTGCCAACCCTGTTACAAGCACCTAAATGACTTAGGATCCTAAATCCAATTGTCAAAAGTGGGCTCATAAATGACTTGGGCTCTTTTCAGAATTGTACCCTTGACGATCATCTCGTCTGACCTCCTTCATTATTTTTGCTCTGCTTACACCACCACCGTGTATTCTGTTTGGGTTTTATTTTACTTATGGCTTAAGGATTAGAGCAGGACACTTGGGCTCTGAAGACCTAGGTTCAATGTCAATCTCTGCCACTGCCCCCACTATGCAACCTTGGCCAAGTTACTTAGGGCCTGATCCAAAGCCCATTGACATTAATAGGAGTTTTTTCACTGATTTCAATGGGCTTTGATTCAGGCCCCACTGTGCCTAGGTTTCAATGGGGATGACTACTAGAGCTGGTCCAAAAAAAAAATATCCATCAAGTTTTTTCAACTAGCCCAAATAATAAAGTGGACACGATAAAAATCTTTCCAACTGCTGATTGCAAGTAATTTCCATTACCACAGTACTTACATTGCTACCTATGGTAGATAAAGGGAATACCACCAATACCCCAGGAACGATGGGTAGGCAAAAATGTGAAATTGTAAAAAGTTTAATGGCAACCACTGTACCTATCTCCTTACCTCAAAGAGAACATTTTGCAGACGTTGAGCTGGTTCCTAAATGAAATAACTCTGCAAGGCCAATTCAGAGTCAGTAACTTCTCCCCCAGAAAAGCCAATCGATTTGCTTCCAGCCTTCTTATTTCTAGGCAGTGTTGCACACAATTCTTTTTCACTAGATGAACATATGTCAGGCTCAGTCCTGTAAGCTTGTGCCCAATTTGAAGCACATGAGTAGCTTCATTGATTTTAAATGGATTACTCAGGTGGTTTGCATGCGCTTAAGTGCTTTGCTGGTGGATAGGACCCCGGTTGTGCAGCCCCTAGCAGGATCCAGCACTTAGTGAATGGTATTTATACACATGCCGTGTAAAATGAAGCCACTGGCAGTGACATGAGACAAAATTTTCAAACTTTGGTGTTGAAATTAAGCACCTAAATTAAAGGTATTTGAAAATCTGGCATTTAATTCCCTGGTCTAAGTTTTAGGCTTCTGTATATGCTCTTTGTGCCTTTCTTTTCTTTTCCCACTTTCCCCCATCATTATATCGTTATTATTTATATTACAGGGAGTATGCACAATGGGCTAGGGGCTGTAAAGATACAGGAGAGGACATTTGCAAAGAGCTTACAATTTGAAAAAAAAATTAGTGTTATAAGAAAATACAACAGTATTCTACAGTAATGGACCAAAACACTGCAATGTATGAGAGCTTTACTATAGTCTTCTGCACCATCATTTGAAAATGCTGTGGAGTTTTAGAAAAAGCTATTTGGAAACTCTTTAGAGCATTTTTGTTGTGTGTGTGGAGTGCCAAGCAGAGTGAGATCCTGATCACCACTAGATGCTACTGCAGTACAAATAGAAAATAACAAAAATACATATTTCACAGATTGGAATCCCTTTATCAAGAATCATATCAAGCAGAACCTGATCATTTCATTTCCTGCTTCCGGGTTAGTGTGAGATCTAGTACTTGAGACAGTGGGTTTGGTCTTTTTTCAAGAGAGGATTTTTTTCCTTAACCAAAGTACAAACAGCACAGAAAAATGAGATTGACAACAATTAATAGGTGTTTCTTACTCTCCTGTGATTTTTTTCCTTTTACAGCTACCTAGACAGCTTAGATCGAATCGGAGCTCCAGACTACCAGCCAACAGAGCAGGATATACTTCGAACCAGGGTCAAAACAACTGGCATTGTAGAAACCCATTTCACATTCAAAAACCTCCACTTCAGGTAAGTCTGATGTGAATCCACTGTTGTATTTTCAGGCAGTGCAAATATCAGCATTGTATGACTGCAACCATATTACCTTGGCCAAAAGCTCTCCCACAGTATGCTTGTCTGACTAGCTGCTATCCTCCACCCCAGAGGTGGCTGCATTTCTGTGGGTACTAGCATATGGTATGTAAAATGGTTTGTAACTGAGGCAGAGTACACTCAGTGCACACGTACCCACTCCTGGCTGGTTTAGAAAAAAATTCCCTGATGAGCAGTTTGTTCTACATTTGCCCATTATGGGGTTCCTTGCCTTTTCCTCTGAACCCTCTGGTACTTGCCTGTGTTGGAGATGTGACACAAGAATAAACAGACTCTGCTCCAGTCCGGAATGGCATATGGTAAAAACATTCGGCAATTTGTTGTCTACATGGGATAGTCACGCTGATGCTCCTGGAGTTTGCCAGTAATTCTACTCTCGAGTGCAGGGCAGACGGAGGTTTCTAACACACACACACACACACACACACACACAAAACAAGACTGGGAGTTCGGCCTCTTAAACCCACAGATCACTTAAGATACATGCAGATTGCTAGGGCTCTCTGGAAAGCAAGAGCTGTCCTCAGAGAGGCCCCTTGCCCATGCACTGCCAACAAATCCCACACAGCATCCAAGCCCCTGGACAATCTTCAGGAGCTTATGCTGTCATGGGTTCCCCTAACTACTACTGCCCGCAGAACTCCTCTTTGGGGAGAGAGGGGTTCCAAACCTCAGAGAAGGAAGAAGTGAGAGTTGCTGCAGACTCTGTTGCCCTGTGCTAGGAGCCCTCCAGGGATGAGTACTTAGAAATACAAAAGGGATTACTAATATTTTCCCTTTGTTAATAAAGAATAAATGAAGAGACGTCCCTATTTCATGCACAGGCTGTTCGATGTGGGAGGTCAGAGGTCAGAACGTAAGAAATGGATCCACTGCTTTGAGGACGTCACAGCGATCATTTTTTGTGTTGCGCTGAGTGGTTACGATCAGGTGCTCCATGAAGACGAAACCACGGTGAGTGCTTACGGGGCGACGCAGGCCCCGACACTTCATCGCTGGCCTATTGCATAGCCTGCCGTTGCTCAGTGATCAACTCACACTCTTATTGGCTTGTACCAAATCAATGGACTTGTTAATCACATGTCTTCCCTTGATTCTGAAATGGTGTGCAGATCCTTTCTTCCCCTAACCCTTGGAAATTAAGTCTTCCATTGCCCAGGGTGGAGTTAACCCAGGTAACAGTTTCTTGCTCTGATTAAGTTATAATGTTTTCTTTTCTCTCAAGTTGATCAGTGCAAAATGCCATGGGACATAAAGAGGATCCTGAACCCAGAGAGTAGAGTGATAAGCAGTGAATAGGTGCTTTTGAAAACAAACTTAAGGAAATCAATAAGCAGCACTTGGAACATCCAGATACACAAAGGTGTAGCAACACCACAAATTCCTCAGGTGGATTCAAGCTATCGGGGTAACCTGCTTCTAAATGCAAAAGAAATTCATTTTCCCGAGTGAAACGGGAACTGTTCAACTCTGGTGGAATTTGTTTTATGGGGGATGGGATTATCTCCTATAACTTCCCACTGTGATACTAGGCCTGAAATACTGCATGGAAATTGAAAATAAGAGAAATCCGGATACACTAGCTGCCGGATGATTGTGTGGCATTCCCATTAATCTGAATGTGTTCGATGTATGGGCATATAAAGGGTGAGAGAATAGTCACTAGCATTTTTCACCAGCTATACGGCATGCAGTAAGAAAGATACCTGTGCATTTGGGAAGATGAAATGTCAATAACAGAAAAGGCAAGAAGTTGTAGGAGTAACCAGGTATTGTCTTGCCCAGCATTGAAGAACCAAAAGTCAGAGCTTCCTAAACGCTTTGTGCATGCCCAATGTGCAACAATGCAATGGAGACGCTATTGTCACCAGTTTCTGTAGGCGGTGCTAACATTTATTCCCTTTTTCCTGTTTGTAAAGGATCAGAAGTTAGAATGGATAACACGGTGGGGAAGGACTTGAAAAGAGTTCGTAACTTGCAGTCAATAATGTATTCACGAAGAGACTTTTTGGGCACTGATATTTTACATCTTCTAGGTCAGATTCATGAACTCTGGTGAAGAGGTCACCTGCTTGTTGAAATCCTGCATTGCATGAGTTTAGGTTACATTGACACCAGAATTTAGTCTATTAACATCCTCATATCTGCATCCCCCTAGATCTGCAGATTTGGATTGAGATTCTGAATCACCCTACCGCACCACACTCCTCCGGAAAACGTTTAGGATGCACATTTATAATATCTGTATTAACTAAGAACCCTTCCTATACATGTGTTTTCCGCTTCCTATGTATCTATCCCAGTATCACAGCTATTGGCTAGAATTTTCAAGGGTCTAAGGGAGTTAGGTGAAAGTCAATGGGAATTGGGCACCTAATTCTCTTAAAGCTCTTTGAAAATCCTGCCCGTCAACTCTGTGGTCAATTTTCTGTAATAACATTAGTGTCAGCTGCTATGTAGATCTAAAATAGTAGGGTACAGCAACTCTGTTTTGTGTGTGTTTGTGAACCACATGTCTCCATAGCTCCCAAGAGACACTCACCCACTGAGAAGGTGATGCCCCTTCTGGAATGGGAAATCTGCCAGTCACACGATGTGGAGGAGCATATGCAGGTTAGGAAGGACTCAATTAGCAAAAATGCCTAGGGTCTGAGGTACAGAGGTGCCGATTACCTCCAGTTGTCAGATGTCAGTTGAAGTTGTGGATGCTCAGGACTTCTGTAAATCAGGTCCATGTTGTCTCTTGTTAGGCACCAAAAAACTGAAGCTCCTGAAATTAGTGACCACTTTTAGTGCTTTGGCCTTAACCTTGGTTTACTGTCTATAAAATGGGGATAAAATTGATTTACAGGAGTGTTGTGAGGATATATTACTTAATGTTTGTTGCTCCCCACACCATCCATACTTACAGACACATCAATAACCTCTCTAACAGAGAACAGAAATACAATGATGATTCTCAATGGGAGCCTTACTAGTGTTGTATTAGGTCTTTAATTCAGACTATATTTTCTGAACCCCCAATGTAGGCAGGAACAGCAGCTTCTGTAACCCCAGTTGCACCACACTCTCTTTGTTAAGAATATTAGTTTTGGATTAATTTGAGGTGCTGCTCTGGGATTTTTTTCTATGTAAATTTCATTTCACAATTCACTCCGTGGTACTCTGGGCAACAGGAAAAAAGACACAGATTCTGATCGTTTGACGGGACAGTTGTCAGTGCACATTAAAGAGACAAGGTGGGTGAGGTAACATCTTTTACTGACCCAGCATCTGCTGGTGAAAGAGACAGGCTTTCGAGCTTCTACACAACTCTTCTTCGGGTCGTGGCAACCCTGCTAACAAACTACAACAACACTGCAAACAAAGGGCAAATTAAATGCAGATGATGCTCTTGTTTAGCCTAAATAAACAACTCCTGTTGAGTTCAAACACAAATAGTGAAATAAGAAAATAACAAAGTCAGTATCCTCGGCCCTGCTACTTCCCTAACTCAGATCTCCTATGCAAGTGGCGTGCTGAAAATACAGCAGCATCTGCTGACAGATGGGCCTCAGTCAATTTCACCCCTACCATTCTGTCAGGAACAATTTCACCTACAGCTTTAGTCACCACAATCTCCTTCCTTAAAGTATAGTTCAGCGTTCAAACTAACTGTGTAAATGGCATCGCCTAGGTCAGGTGATTTAGCCCCTGTGTGCATCAGTCACATCAGCTGCCTTTATTGACAAAAATGAGCTTTTACTGTTTCATGCTGGTTAGCACAAGGGCAACACAGTTAAGAAAGTAAACTGGATTGTGTTCTTCCTTGCACATCATCTATAGAAACCCATACTAAGTTCCAGTCACTTAAACCTGTGCAAAACCATTGAAGGCACTGAGATTGCACAGATGTCACTAAGGGCAAAATCTTTATTCCTGGTGATGATACATGAGAAAGAAAGAACCCAGCTCGTGTGTGAGGTCTTAAAACACGTTAGCAAAGATGGCACTTGGAAAAAATATTTTTTCCTTGTAAGCCGAGCATATCATTGACAATAATCATGAGAACTCACCATGCCATTTTATACTTTTCTGAATAAAACTGTACTTTATGTGGACAAAATTATAGTTACAATACAAGCAGTCTCTAATGAAGATCCTAGATTTCTCTCACTGGGCTCAAATTGGCAACCAGGCGTTTAAAGCAGCAGCCCCTGGAGGTTGCTCTGTCAGTGAGCTAGACATTCCAGGCAGCTTCCAGTTTCAGGCCAATCCTATCAGATGAAGAAGACTGAACCCAAGAAGTTTGTAGTGGCCATCTCACTGGAGAGCCAGCCCTTAAGCAACAAGTTCATTGTGGAACCTTGTCAAATAGGAATGAGCAAATGAGTGCAGATAAAATAAGAACTGATCCGAACCTTCCCCTCAAAGTGAAACCTTGCTTGAAGTTCAGAAAAGTTGATCATTTTTAATATACTTGTCATGACCCTTGTTTTAAAACTACGCCACTCTTCTCTGTTATCACAGCACCTAGCATGCGCTGTAGTATTTGAGACCACTGCTTTATAGTACTGTCCTATTTTTCGGTAAGGGACGCCTCTCCACTTCTGTATTTTCAGCAGGGCCGGCTCTAGGCACCAGCAAAACAAGCTGGTGCTTGGAGCGGCACATTTTTAGGGGTGGCATGGCCGGCATGGCCAGTGCCAGAATGCCACCCCTAAAAATGTGCCCCGGCCGCCCTAGTTCACCTCCCCTGCTGCTACTGTTTCGCGCGCCACTGCTCCCCCTCCCTCCCAGGCCACTCGGAGTCTTCCCCTCCCTCCCAGGCTCTCAAACCTGGGAGGGAGGGGGAGATCCCGAGTGGCCGCGGCGCGCGAAACAGCTGTTTCGCGCGCCGCTGCTCCCCCTCCCTCCCAGGCTTGAGAGCCTGGGAGGGAGGGGGAGACTCCGAGTGGCCGCGGCGCGGGCGCCGCTTCTCCCCCTCCCTCCCTCCCTCCTGGCTTGAGAGCCTGGGGGGTGGAGGCAGGGCTGGGGATTTGGGGAAGGGGAGGAGTTGAGGCGGGGACGGGGGTGGGGTAATTAAAAAACGTGGGGCGGGGGCGGCCAAAATTGTTTTTGCTTTGGGCGGCAAAAATCCTAGAGCCGGCCCTGATTTTCAGGCAGGAACAGTAAGAAATACATGAAAACCAGAAGAAAGGCTAGTCCTTCTGCATGTCCAGCTCAGCCTGAACTAATAATCTCATGAGAAGGTTTCTTCTCATGAGATTTCTAGACCTACATTCAAGTACCAATCCAGGCTTTGCATATGTAGCCAATCTGAACTTCCTGAATTCAGCCAGGCACTGCTCCACTGTCAGCACATCCAAAGCCTTCCTCGTATGATGGTCCAACCCATGACCTGACTGTGCAAGGCACTCCAGAGCAGAAGGATGAAATGTAGGAGTAGACATCCAGAATGCTGTGGAATTCCATTGGTTTCATACATACACCATAGGTAGAGACAGCAAAGCAAAATGAAATGTTATGCCAAGTTTTCCCCTAAATCCTCCCATACACAGTTCACAAAAGCTTTCCTCCAAATAGTAAGATGGGTCTCACACAGTGGCCTACAGCGGGCAATATACATCTACTTAGTCCCTCACTAGGGCTGCGAGTTGCTACCACAGTACTGAATACACAATACAAAGATGGCAATACTCAGTTGCTAAGGGACTGAGCAGCTCAGTGGACATCCTTGCCCAGTCAGGCTCTCAGTGTGGTAGGTCAATGACTTTTTTAGTCTTCACAAGACAATGAAATGAAAAAACCCCAAGGCCTTATCCAAATCCCAGGTAACGGGTAGGGGGAAAACCCACTAGCAACATTCATATACAACACTGGAATGGACCATAGCAGATGGGGATTTTTATTGCTCCCTATGACACTTTTTAAGACAATGGTGGCATGGGATCTACCATGTGAACCTATAATAT